TTTTGAGTTCCAAGTATATTTTAGATATGAGACCCTTGTCCGTTGTATGGCTAGTAAAGATCTTCTCCCAATCCGTGGGCTTTCTATTAATCTTGCTAGCTATGTCATTTGCCCTGCAGAAGCTCTGCAACTTTATGCAATAAATTTATGATATTATTTCTACCTCACTTTCTCCTAAAATTCCTCTGAAGTAATAATATTATTTTGTCCCACCAAAGTTCTCTAAGCTGCCATGATTAACTGAAGGGTGTGGGAGGAATGAAGTTACTGAAAATGATCCAAACCATTTCCAGTCACTAAGAACCTTCTCTGAAATTCATGTAATTAAAATCTAGAGTTTGCATACTACTCTTGTGCATCTGCCCAGAACATCACAAGCCAGAAAACCATAAAGATACCTGCACATCCAAGCTCATTGTTGCACTATTCAAAACAGCCAAGTTATGGAAACAGCCCACACATCCTACAATAGAGGAGTACGCCCCCCAAAAATGTGGAATTTTACTCATCCATTAGAAAGAATAAGATGATGTCATTTGCAGGGAAATGGATGAACACAGAACAAATTATGTTAAGTGAGGAAGCCAAGCTCAGAGAGACAAACAGTGCATGTTTCTCTCATATGAGGAAGTTAGAGCTAAAATACCCCCAGGACATAATAATTATACAGGACTCTGGATTCCCACAATGAGACCAAAAGAAGTTACTCAGGGGAGGAATCCAAATTGTAACACCTTTGAGCATTTAAAATACTACTTATCGAAACATTCCAGAAATGGGAAACATGGGTGTTTGGTGGTGTTGTTAATGATGATGGTATTTGTCTTTGCTTAATGGTTTGCTTTTTTTCTGTCTTTTGAGGGATGCACAGAAATGGAGGAAGAGTGAACAAATGCTATCATGGTACTTAGTATACACTATACACTAAGTGGAAAATGAACTATGTAACTTGTGGGTAAGGGTGGAAGGGGGGAACTGGGAGAAGTGAAGGAAGGGGTGATACTGCCCAAAAAAGAAATGTACTCATCATTTGCTTTATGAAATAGTGAACCCTCCAGGGAACACTTTAATAATAATATTTTAAAAATCAAAAAACCAAACTACAGCTTGCCGAGCATTGATGGCTTACACCTGTGTTCCTAGTATGCTAGAAGAATCTCAGGAGGCTGAGATTTGAGGATCACAGTTGGAAGCCAGCCCAGGCAGACAAATCCAAGACTTTTATCTCCAATTAACCAATACAAAGCTAGAAGTGAAGGTGTGGTTCAAGTGGCAGAGCGCCAGCCTTGAGAAATAAAAGCTAAGGGAGAACCAGCTATCCTGAGTTCAAGCCCAAGTACTGACACAAAATCAAAAATTATTGCTCATTCCTCCCTCACCCATTCAGGTTACTTATACAACCAAAAGCTACAGATGGAAATGATTTGAATAGGACTGGAAGCTAGAGAATGCAGCAGCAAACAACAAAGGAGCCTCACATGCAAATTGTGTGGTACTGTGGCCAAACAGTAGACTGGTAAGACCGCCAGTTTGTTTCCTCTTCCTCATTTTTCAGGTTAACCAAGTTGTTATTGTGTATTTTCTTCAATGTCTTTGGTTAACTGTCATAATACAGTAATTGAGCTAAAACAGGGTGACATTGTATAAAACTTCCTCTTTAAATGTTCAAAGTCTACACTTTCCAGATTGTTAGGTTTGCATCTGTCATTTTGGATATATATTTGGGCTCATGCAACCGTTACATGCTTTTAATATTGAATTGATAGCACTAACAGATGCCATTTAAGCACATAAATTCCAATATTTTTATTTTTAATCGTAACTATAAAGGTTATGTACAGAGGGGTTAAATTTATGTCAGGTGATGAGTACATCTTTTTGAACAATGTCATCCTCACACCGTTTTTCCCTCCTGTCCCCATCCACAAGTTGTATAGTTCATTTTCAACTAGATAAATTCTACTTTACCAGGAAATCAGCAAGTTAACTATCATTTAAACAATGCAAATGTTATCACACAAACACACACACACACACTCCTAGCCACCATTTAAAAATCTATTGTGAGATTTTTCTCTTTTGTTGCTCTTGAAATGCTGAACGACTTTAAAGAATTCTTACTTTAGCAAACTTATGAAAACCCATTGCCATAAAACAATGTGTGATAAACCAAATCATGAAATTCTGAGTCCCTGAAATAATCTTTATGGAGTTAAAAACATGTGAATAGGGTAAGAGCATATTTTAGTGGCAGAAGAGTCATGGAAAGGGAATAGTCCAGTAAGAGATCTAAAAAGTAATTTAATCTATTTGAGCAGCACCTGGAGTTTTGTTTTGTTTTTTTTTTTGGTTGGTCGTGAATCTTGAACTCTTGGCCTGGGCGCTGTACCTCAGCATTTTAGCTTAAGGCTAACGCTCTACCACTTGAGCTATGGCACCACTTCTGGCTTTTTCTGTTTATGTTGTGCTGAGGAATCAAACCCAGAGCCTCATGCATGTGAGGCAAACACTCTACCCCTGAGCCACCTACCCAGCCCCCGGAGATGTTTTAAAAGACAAAACTTAAGATTGTTTTAGTCAAAATGACATTTCTAGTTTTAAAAAAAGAAATGTTTAATCTGTGCCATGAACAAACAAAACTAAAGAAAAATGAAGCAGATAAACACATCCTGATCATGCGAATCAGGACAAGGGGCAGCAACATCAAAAGCTAGAGCACAGTACTTTTGTCCCTGGGTTCCTAAGGGGGATTGGTTTCCAGGCCCCCTGTGGACCCTCAAATCCTGAGCTCAAGTTCCTTCTATAAAATTGCTCAGCTGAGAATAGGGTGATTAGGCTTGAAGCTAGTCTGAAGTTCTTCAGCCCAGCTGGATATGGTGGCACACCTGTCATTCTAGCTTTGTCAGAGGCTGAGATTGGAAGGACTCTAGTTCCAAGCCAATCCTAGCTATGTCAGGATGTCTAAATGATAAAAAGTGAGACCTTAACTCAAAAATAACCAACACAAAATGTCAGGAGGTAGGACTCAGGGGTAGCAAAGCTTCCTAGCAGATGCTGAAGCTCTGAGTTCAAACCACTACAAAGGTGTAGTATTTGCATATAACCTATATACATCCTTTCATATACTTTAAATCATCTCTAGATTATGTTACCATTTAGTACTGGCGTTTGGATTCCGAGCCTCATGCCCTTGCTTAGCTTTTTCTGCCAAGGCTGATGCTCTACTACTAGTGTACTTTCACTTCTGGCTTTTTGTTGGTTAATTTAAGAGTCTCATGGAGTTCTCTGCAGGGCTGGTTTTGAATTGTGATCCAGATGGCTGCCTCCTGAGTAGCAGGATTACTGTGGCATGAGCCACAGCAGCCTGCCTTTTTTTCCAAAATGCAAAACAATAGACAAAAATCTTAAAAACCAACAACAAAAACAAGTTCGGAAATTTTTCAGATGGTGTAATTTACTCTCTGACCTGGATTTTAGAGACAATAATGTGGATTGAAAGTAATTTTTTTTAACGTTAAGAACAGTACGTGCTTACAAGAGAAATTTTGGAAAATACAGAAAGGTGCAAAACAGAAAAGAAAAAGTCCTTTATTCAGTCAATGAAGGTTAACATTTTTACACCTTTTAACTGGATTTGATATCATTAATGTTACTTTGCTATCCTTAGCCACTTCATAAATCAAGGACACTTACTTGAGAGTATGATCTCATTTTATATAATGCTATCTATCAATCTCATCATCACGTGCTTGAAAAAGTACAGCTTCTTACGAAGACTCCGAAATCAACGTGCAGGAAAGAATGTCAGACAGAAAATGGGCAGAATTCAGAGGAAGACATTTGGTGTAGGAAAGGTAACTGAGTTGCTCGACCAGGGGCAGAACAGGACTAGGCTGAACGGCAGGATCCCCAGTCACCTCGTCACAACCCAAGCAGAACGTCAGGCTCGCAGCTGCGCCGGTGGCTCAGACCTGTGATCCTTGCTACTCAGGAGGCTGAGATCGCGGTTCGAAACCAGCCCAAGTAGGGTAGTCCGCGAGACTCCAATTACGTACCAAAAAAACCAGAAGTGGCACGGCAGGCACGAGCCACCGGAGCCTGCCTGGCTCAGGTGGTACAGCGCCAGAAAACAAAACGAAAAAACCACTGCGCTCTAATTCCCTTTAGGCAAGGCGTCGAGGTTAAACCGAAGTGCACGTAAAGGGCCCGAATTACCTAGAAGCCCAAGATAACCCTGGCGGCTCCCGCGATTGGGTTCGACCAAGACTGTGGTCGCCATGACAACCGGAGGAGCTGGCAGGTGTGCGCCAACAGAAGCATCCGCGCGCTTACTGCGCAAACGCGGCTAGTCGCAGGGCCGCGCATGCGCCAACGTAACCTCACGCTCCGGCGGGGGAGGGGGCTGAGCCCCTCACTTCGTCGTCACAGCGGCGATGTTGAGGGTGCGTCCGCCTCTTTCTTCCCCCTCCTCTCCTCCCCTCCTTCCCCTTCCCCTAGTCCCTTTTGCTGTCACCTCCTTCCCCTGGCTCTCCCGGGGCTTCTGGGGTAGGCCGCCGTCTCCGGAAGCGCATCCCACCTCTTCCGCCCCCGGCGGCGGCGGCGGAGGCATTGGCTGCGGGGCCTGCGCCTGCGCGTCTCCCTGCAGGGTAGGCAGGTGGCTCCGTGGGGCGTGTCCCGCCCCTTCCGCCCCCGGCGGCGGCGGCGGAGGCATTGGCTGCGGGGCCTGCGCCTGCGCGTCTCCCTGCAGGGTAGGCAGGTGGCTCCGTGGGGCGTGTCCCGCCCCTTCCGCCCCCGGCGGCGGCGGCGGAGGCATTGGCTGCGGGGCCTGCGCCTGCGCGTCTCCCTGCAGGGTAGGCAGGTGGCTCCGTGGGGCGTGTCCCGCCCCTTCCGCCCCCGGCGGCGGCGTTGGCGGCGGGGCCTGCGCCTGCGCCTGCGCGTATCCCGCCAGGGTCGGCCGGCGGCTCCGCTGGGCGCGTCACGGCCCGCAGCCCGGGCTCGATGGCGATGAGCTACAACGCCAAGGATGAGGTGGACGGCGGGCCCCCGTGTGCTCCGGGGGGCTCCGCGAAGACCCCGAGGCCGGACAACACGGCCTTCAAACAGCAACGGCTGCCCGCTTGGCAGCCCATCCTCACGGCCGGCACCGTGCTGCCCACCTTCTTCGTGATCGGCCTCATCTTCATCCCCATCGGCATCGGCATCTTCGTCACCTCCAACAACATCTGCGAGATCGAGGTGAGAGGTGCCCGGGCCCGGGCCCGGGGTCCCCGGGGTGAGAGGGTGCCCCGCCGGGGTCCGCGGTCCCGGGGGTGAGGGGTGTCCCGTGGGGGCCCGGGGTCCCCGGGGTGAGGGGTGTCCCGCCAGGGTCCGCGGTTCCCGGGGTGAGAGGTGTCCGCGGTCCCCGGGGTGAGGGGTGCCCCGTCGGGTGCCCGCGGTCCCCGGGGTGAGGGGTGTCCGCGGTCCCCGGGGTGAGGGGTGCCCCGTCGGGTGCCCGCGGTCCCCGGGGTGAGGGGTGTCTGTGGTGCCCGCGGCCCCCGGGGAGTGAGGGGTGCTCCGCCAGTCCCTTCCTCATCTGCGTTCTTCGGTCTCGTTCTCCGGCTCCCGAGTTTTCTGTTTTGCTCTAACTTCCTCCCCGCCCCGACTCGAGAGACTCTTGTTTCAAGTGTTGCTCAACGGCGTGAACAGAGAAGTAGAGGGGGAAGAGTGATAGGAACTGAGTGCTCCCACCTGGGCTGCTACCTGGCCGCAGGGGTGTTGGGGGGGTGGTTATTCCAGAACTCTCATTACCACCTTGGCCATTGCTGTGAAAGGCCTCAGAGTCACCGAGAATATTGACTCTTACTTCAATGAACAGATCACGACATATTGGGACGTAGGACCTAAATACATGCTTTTAGGTGGTAGAACATCCATGCTGTAAGGTAAAGGGAACCTGGAACTTGAGATCTGCTTTGGTGTGTAGGCTGAGTTTATTAATAATTATGCCCCACGTTCCCCTAGGAGTTTTTTTCCCCTTCCACCTTGTAAAATCTATCATTTTACACAGGGAGTTAAGTTGTGCACTGTTAAAACCATTTGGCTGGTCTTGTTTATGCTGACATTTTGCGTATAAAAGACATGATGATAATAGGGGCTATTTTGTTGTCTCAGCAATTTGCAGGGTGAAGAGGTTGTTAGAATAAATACTGTATCGTGTCCAATGTGAGGCCTCTGCTTGTCCTCTTCCATATTTAAGGGCGATTTTATCTGTTGAAAGTATAAGAGCCCATACCAACTAATACAGGTTTTTTTCTATTCTGATTTCATGTATATAGTTGACCATTTTTAAATAGGGTAGGGAGTAGGGGAAAAGTGATTCATTCTATCTATCTGTCTATCTATCTGTATCTGACTGTCTGATTGTTTGTGAGCTAGCTGTTCTTGAGGCTTGAATTTAGAGCCTGGGTGCTCTCCCTAGGCTTTTTCTCTCTCAAGGCTGGAGCACTACCTCATAAGCTTTCTAAAAAAGGCTTGGGAGTTTTTGTGGTTAACTGGAGATAAGAGACTTACTGCTTCTGCTTTTGCTGTGATCCTTAGATCTCAGCCTCCCCAAGCAGATTGAAATAGTTTTTAATTGCTTCAGTTTTGCTAATAGAATCTACACCAAACTAGTTTTTAAGCTTTTAATTTTTTTTGGAGGGGCTTGTTCCTGGGCTTGAACTCAGGGCCTGAGCACTGTCCTTGAGCTTCTTTTGCTCAAGGCTAGCACTCTACCACTTGAGCCACAGCACCACTTTGGGCTTTTTCAGTGTATGTGGTACTGAGGAATCAAACCTAGGGCTTCATGCATGCTAGGCAAGCTTTTTACCACTAAGCTACATTCCCAGCCTCCACTTCCACTTTTTGCTGGTTAATAGGAGGTAAGAGTTTCACGGCTTTCCTGCTTGGGCTGACTTCAAACCAGGATCCTCAGATCTCATCCACCTGAGTAGCTAGGATTACAGATGTGAGCCACTGGTACCCAGTCTAGTTTTTAAATCTTTTACTAAAAATTCATTTTCATCTTATTTACTAAAGCAAGTGTCACTTTTTTCCCCCAATATGCATTTTTGTTTGATTTATTTTTTTCTCTCCTTTATAGGCCTGCAAATGTAGTCCAAAATGCTCCAAAATTTGAAGCTGCTTTTTGTGTGTATTATGTTAGGCACTCACAAAGTTTTGAGTTTTGGATTTGACTTTCAGATTAAGTATACTTATTGACTGGTGAAGTTCATAAGTTCATTCCTCCTCCACAACAGCAAATCTGAAAATTCTCAAATCTGTGAAGTTCTCCTACTATGCATTTGGATAAGGAATATGCAACTTGTATTTCTTGTTCTCCCAGCCACACTTGGGTCACATAATCAGTTTGTTAACAAACTTGTGTAATTGGAGCCTGGGTTAAATTCCAGTTTAGCCACTTAATTAGCTTAATTTACCTACTTCCTCCTATGTTCTCTTTGTCATTGCTAACATAGAGTACAGTAAACTAATTTGAAAGTAAACTAATTGCAAAATTGAGACAGAAAAGCAAATGACCTGATTTCCTTAACCTTTTACACTAGTCAGATCCTTACCACAGTGATAGTAGATGTAGAAGAAAACAAAGTGACATTAGAAATTCCAATCCTCTTATTGCAATGTCTGAAGATGCAGTGATAAAAGCAAAAGTAATTTGAATTGTATATGGCTCAGTGGTTACGAATTATCAGAAAACTAAGGAAGTATGGACATCTTTAAAAATCTAAAAACTTTTGGGTTCTGAAATATAGTACAGTTCTTTAAGTAGTTGATGAGGTGGAAATTTCTTTAGTCCTCTTGTGTAGTTCTGATTTCAAAGCTCTTTGAAGACTTGCAGCTGAGTCTTGTCAGAAGGGCACAGGAAAGTTGAGTCAGGCTACTATTAAGGTCCCACTCTCCTTTTCTAGTTTGTGACTGTAGGCATGTTTGTGAATCCAAGTTTTGCAAATCAAAAGATTCAGATTAGCTGATCTCTAAGATGCTCTTCAACTTAAATTTTATAACTTCAAGCTTAAATTTTATTAAAAACTGATACATGTTGAAATATATTGCTTTAGGGACTAGAGGAAATGGAATTTGTGAATAATTGTGAATTTTTGTTTGTTTTTATCTGTATTTTGTGTGTGTGTGTGTGTTTGTGCGTCTTTTTTCTTTTTCAGTACTGGGGATCGAACCCAGGACAATGCACTTGCTAGGCAAGTGCTTTGACACTGAGCTACATCCCAGCCCACTAACTGAGAATTTGGTGCCAACATTGACAAATAGTTGTGTTAGTAGAATGTTTGCAGTTGTGTGTATGTGCAATTGTGTGTTAAAAGTTAAGTATTAAACGTGGATAAATTGTTTTGCAGTAGGTCTAGAACTAGAAAAAAACTAGGGAGTTTTCTCAAATACATATACTTGTTTCTGACAGATCTCCTTTACCCTCTCCTCCCTCCTATTTTTCCCCCTTCCTCCCTTTTCCTCCTTTCCCCTCCTCCTTCCACTCTATTTTTGTTTTTTGTTCTTTGTGTGTGTTTGATTTTGAATCTATAACCAACAGCTTATGCTGTCCTTTTTAATACATATTAAAATATTTTGAGGATTATTAAAAGTAAGTGGGTAATGGGAAGCTATTGGCAACACTTCTGTATTTTAAGTTCTTCACCTCTTAGTTTATTTATTTTTGAAAATTTGAAAGCCTCATTGCTGTATTATTTCAAATTACTAGGGCAACGCATACTTGTAAAATCAAAATGCTTGTCATAAAGTGCTGTGATCAGAATCTAAATATTTTTTAAGTAATAAGTGGCTCTTTTGCATTCTCCAAGAAATGCCACACTAAAAAGGTACTGTTAAAATTGCCTTGGACCTCTGAAAAAGGCATTTTAAAAATGCACTTTGTTTTAATGATTACATATGAATTTAGGTATAGGCATTTTAAAAGTTGGGTTGTATATTTTCCGAGTGAAATGTACTTGAGGCTTTAGAAAACTATAGTTATTTTTTATTTTTCAGGAGAAAATATTTTAAATTTTCATATTTTTAAGTAGTAGCACTGTCTTCATTTATTATGAAGAACAAGGAATGAGTCCCTTAATTTGGCAACTGAAGGAGTCAGTCACATGTTTCTACTACAAAGGTAATGATTTTCTAGTCTAGAGCTCTTAGAGAAGCTGAGCTATGAACTTAAACTTGGTCTTCCTAAGAGAGTAAACTTATTCTTAACTTTTTCAAAAGATTTAGTAATTTTAAAATAATGAACAGAAAGTTTAGTAAGGTGTTTTGTGTCTGAAATTCCATCAGCTCCAGGAATCACTTAAGTACAAGAGTTCCAGGTTAATTTGAGCAGCATGGCAAGATAAAAGAACAAAAAATAATTGGCTAATGGTTAAAATCAAAATAGTATGGTTATTCAGAATAGTATTTAAATGGAATATACTGCAATAAATTTAGTGACACTAAGAAACCAGACTTTTTTCCCCCAAACTAATAGCGTAGAAGATACATTTTCATGAAATTGTAAGTGGTTTCTCATATTTAATAAAGAAATTTCCAACTTTCCTCCTTATCACGTTATTTCATTTATTCCTTTTAGTTCTTTAATCTTACTTATTCCTCTAGTTTCTGATAAAAGTGTTTTTAATCTATACTTTAAATTTTATCTTAAAATTGCCAAACCCTAATTATACAAAGGGGGGGCACTGTGACATTTTCACACATGCATACAATGTGTCAATCATACCCTCTCTTAGCTTTCAAAACTCTTATCTATGTCTTTACTCTTGTGTCATTTGAATTATTAAACAGTAAGACTTTTTGATTAAATGGTCCAGTAAATCCATATTTAAACCTTAAGGATCCGAAGATAAGTTTAGTTGCTTTTTGGAAATGACTGTTGAGGAGCAGTTATTTTAAGTGTGAACATAGTGATATTTAGATTTATTACAATTACAGAAAGAGGACCCTTAGAAGTGGTTTGTGATGATAGTGTTCTTATTACTAAAGTAACTTTAGTACTTAGAGCAACTGATGGCAAAGAAAATATGGCCCACTTGAATATTTTGTAAGACCAGGATCTAAGAATGGATTAGGGGTGGATATTTGCATTCAGTGTGGGGATAGGGAGGGAACTCAAACTTTGAATAGTTGTGTGAACTATTATTCCCCCACACACACTCCCAAAGGAATTAATTCCATTCTTCTCATGAATAGAA